AGGGTTTCCTTATTTAATCAAGCCAGAGGAGCCCAAAGAGGCCCAGCCAGACTCCCGCAGACACTCAGACCCAAGGGCTGCCCACCCACCCTCATGTTCTCTTTGGGGGAGGAAGGGTTTCCTTATTTAATCAAGCCAGAGGAGCCCAAAGAGGCCCAGCTGGACTCCCGCAGACACTCAGAACTGCCCTCATCTTCCCTTTGGGGATGGAGGAGGGCTTGCTTTGTGCCTGGGAAGCGTCTGGGACCCCAACTCCAGCGGAGCCTCAGGCCGCTTCTCACACACAGCACAGTGGAAGCAGACACTGAGCCGGTTTTCTGCTACAGTGACCAGGACACACGTGGGCCCTGAGAAGTGGAGAAGTTTGTGGCCATCTCCCGGGTGACTCTCCTGCTCTTTTCACTACAGGGTCTTCCGACTCCTGCTGGGATGCCCCCTCCTCCTCCTGGCATCCCACAATTCACTGTATCAGAAAAATCAGAAAAAGCAGGAGATGCATGGCCAAAAGCACTCACTTGGAATCCACAATTTAAAAATATTTGATAGTGAAAAAGTTGTTTTAACAGACTTAAAAACAAAACCAAGATTTTTTTTTCCCATGGAAAGATGGGTGCTCGTCAATGAGCTCACCTTTTCTCAGCCCCTTAGTTCATTCTACAGAACTGTCATCTATCCTTCCTTTTCTTGTCTCAATATCTAATTTTTAACGACCTGATTTTCTATTTGGTTCAAATTCTTGTAGGTAGAAATGTTGGGGGTGATAGATGCACTTCAATTCCAAATCTGGTCCAAAGAGGCTCCAAAGCCTTGGTAGTTCCTTCAATTCCATGTAAAAGGGATCAGAAGGAACCACGAGGCCTCATCCTTGCTAAGACTGTGGCTTCCTAGGCCTGGGAGGCACCTGATTATTTACCAGCTTGTCTTTCCCCTTAGAATATAAGCTCTTTGACAACAGGGACTGGTTTTGCCTCTTTTTGTATCCCCAGCACTTAGCTCAGGGCCTGGCCCGCAGCAGGTGCTTAAGTGTTTGACTGATTGCTTTGTTCAAGGCCTAATGCAAATTACAGAGACAATAGGATGACCTTGCTACCTCAAGCAACGAATGATTCAGGTGGGGCAAGAGCCAGATCTTTACACACAGACAGACAGACAAGGCCCGCAAGCCTATGAATGTAGGACTGGCTCCCAAGCCCCACGGTGACTAGACAGAATTCACCACGAGAAACAGCATAAACAAAGAAGTGGACATCGTGACTAGTTGGGTTGGGTAAAAGGAAGAAATGTGGATGATGAGGAAGCCTCAACCCTGGGATGGGCTGCTGGAACGTCGCGGAATTCGGCTCCATCTTTTTAGAAGGGCCACGAGACCCCGTTCTATGGACACGCAGGTCCTGGCACTTCTGTGCGTGGCTTGTTGTCGCAGCTGTGAACTGGCCCGGACGTTCTGGAATCCATATCCCCGAGGTCGCTAACCTGTGCGTGCCCTGAGATTGAGGGAGCGTGCTCCTAGAGCTAGTCCCCAGAACGACCAAAGAAGCAGGGAAAGGACCGACGGGCACAAAAAGTCACAACAGCTCTTCCTGTAATGGCAATGAACTGGAAAACAAGGGGGTGGGCTCCTCTCCGTCTGGACCGGCTAAACAAATGACGGAACCCGACTGCGCTATTTAAGAAAAAAGAAGGGCAGGGATACAAAGAAACCTGCTCAGACTTGCACGGCACCCACCGATGGTCACCCAGCAGAACAATTTACACAATAACAACCAGGACATGAGGACGCACAACTCAGAGAGACTTCAGACCCACGCAATGACCAATCTACCCTCCTTCTAAGGGGGACAGACTCAGCATGCGGACTGAGACAGTCAGAAGGCAGGGCTTGTTCTGACTGCCTGGGCAGGTGTGTTACAAGGGCTTCCTTTTCCTTTTTCCAAGTGGGGGGTGGGGGTGGGAAGGGAAAAACACATGAAAAATTTCACATACCTCTCCAAAGATAGAATGCATTTCCTAACGCACAACACCGAGAAAAATGATGAGGACGTAGTGCGCTCTCAGTATATGCTTTCTCACCGACAAACACACGTGAAAATACTAAAGGGATATAAAGCTGGGCTAGCAGGGTGATTTTCCTGTTTTTATCAGACTTTTTATTTAAATGTATTTTGGTTCATTAAAACGACAGTATTAATAAGCTTTAGTATAAAACTACGCTCACTGCTGAAGGTATGGAGCAGATTTAGACACAGCACACGTCCACGTGGACACGTCCCTCCGACACTGACAAGAAGCAGCAGCTGAGAGGGCTGAATCCTGACATCCTCACTATAGTCTAGGGAAACAAAAGAAAAGGTGAGCGCTGCAGCAGGGGAGGCCCCCTGCCCCTCGCTCTGCTCTCGTGACCGCTTCACAATTCCCACAGCCACATATCGAACCCGGATCTCTCTCCTGAACTGCAGTCCCACAGCATCAGATGTCTCCTGGACATTTTAGACTGGTCCGAGCATCTAAGAGAGCTTTTCTGAACCTCTCTACCAGGGCCACCAGGGGGCGCCACAGTGCCCAGAGCACCCAGCCCAGAGTCAGGAAGACCCAAGTTCAAATCTGCACTCTGACACATGCCAATGGTGGGACCCTGGGCAAGTCACCTCCCTTGTGTCTGCCTGAGGTTCTTCAACTGTAAAATGGGGATAATAATAGCGCCCCCCCCCCCGGGTGGTGGTGAGGAGAAAGCAAGGATGCTGTTTGTGAAGTGCCGACTTAGCCCAGAGCCTGGCACCCACCGGGCGCGACACGGATGAGCGCTGCTGCTGCCGTGTGGCCATCCCTCTGTCGCCCGGGTTCCAACCCCCTTCCTTGGCCTCAGCCCCCTCCTCTTTCTCGACAACATCCCTTCTAGCTATCCCCTCTCCTAGACAGCTGCAGGAGCTCCTGCCTCTCTCCACTGCCCCCAACACGCTTCCAGGGCTCGCCCATGTCCTCGACACAAAGGGTTCTCATCTTCTCAGGCACCCTGCAATCCAACCACACTGGGCTAGCACCGCCATCCCGAGTCCTGCCTCCGGACCTTTGCAGCGGCTGTGCCCCCAGCCTGGGATGCCTCACCACAAGCACCCGTGACCCTAACAGGTCCTTCCTTGTTCGCGGCTGCCAGAGGCTCCCCGCTTAGGTACCTTCCACCAACTCTGCAACTGGGTCGTTACGTTCTCATTTTTATGTGCAGTTCCCCCAAGAGAATGTAAGCTTCCAGAGGGCAGGAACTGGTTTTCCTTTTTCTTTGTATCCGGGCCTGGATGCCATAAGCACTTAATAAATGCACGCTGACTGACTGACCTCCCTCACAGGGTAGCCATGAGGACCCAAAGAGATAATGAAGGTAAGCGCACACCAATGTGAGAGCTCAGGAGGGGTCTTTCACACTTGGCTCTGAAACGGCTAAGACTCACAATACAAGCATTCGATTTGTTTGGATGACAATAACCAGGACGTGATAAAAGCCCGGCATTTCTGGTGACAGGTGTTACCTCACACAGAAGGCTGGGCAAACACTCCTCCAAGAGCTACCACTGCCGGACTGAGCTGGGGATGAGGACTCCCCCGATTCCACAAGTGGCTGCTCTCCACTCCCCCAATCTCAGGCAGAAAGGCTCTGGAGAGCCTGGGAATCTGACCCCCCAAAAGGAAGCTCTCGGCCTATGCCTGAAGACATCAGAAAGGAGGCGACTCAGCACTGCCACAGGCGCCATCCCGCTCTGGGTCAGCGCCACCCTGCCACCTCCACAGGCGGCCCAACCCACCCGGCTCTGGGTCAGCGCCACCCTGCCACCTCCACAGGCGGCCCATCCCACCCAGCTCTGGAACAGCGCCACCCTGCCACCTCCGGAGGTGGCCCAACCCACCCCGCTCTGGGTCAGCGCCACCCTGCCACCTCCACAGGCGGCCCACCCCACCTGGCTCTGGGTCAGCACCACCCTGCCACCTCCACAGGCGGCCCATCCCACCCAGCTCTGGGTCAGCGCCACCCTGTTAGAAGGTCTCTTCCCCCTCCCTGAGAAGAAGCCTAATCTGTCTCTTCACTGCCCCCTTCCATTCATGAAGACAATTCTCTTCTCTCCACCAGGTTAACCATCTCCAATTCCTTCCCTGGATCTCCCTTTGTCACAACCTTGAGGCCACTCGCACACAGCCAGCTCCGTCTGGTTAAGCCTACGAGGTTCCCCACCCTTGGATGTTCATTCCCTAAACCATGGAGCTCTGTTAAATCATGGTCTGTTACACCCAAGGAGGTCTTTTGCTTTTCTGATTGACTGTCACATTACCAGACTGGCCCATACTGAGCTCGCTGTCCACTTAAAGTTATTCTTCACTTCAGGGAAACTGCTGTTTAACATGCCTCTGCCATCCTGTATTTGTGAAGGTGATTTTTCAAACCCATGCATACGACTTTACATTGATCCCTATGAAATGCCACCTCACTGGATGAAGCGCAACATTCTTTGCTGCCAAGGTCTTTTGGGGTCTTGATGCCGTCACCCGGCATGTTAGCCTTTCTGTCACCTGCAAACTGATCAGCAGCTCTCCGTGCCATAATCTAAATCACTGAGGAAAACGTTCAACTGCCCATCGCACCATGAATGGTGACTTTTTGAGCTCAGTCGTTAAGTCCACAGCTGTATATTCATTTAATTTCCATCTTTTCCACAACAATAGCATGAGATGCTTTATCAAACATTTTGTTCAAACCTAGGTGAGCTTTATCTACAACACACACACATTCCTGCCATGATCTATCAGTT